GGGACCTCCTTTTTAAAGATGATTTACTTTTAATGCTGAGGATTTAGCAAAGAAACTGTCACTACCCGTGTTAAACACCTTAGTTTTTGACGCGGCACTGAGAAAAGGAAATTTTACCCTTAGGTTTCAAGGGTGCGAAAGGAGCGTCAAACCCTTAGGGCCCATTTTGTACCTGGGACGTGTAGAACTTCGTTAGTCCAAGGATATATACTAAAACTTCTGATATGCGTAGTGGAATTAGGAACTGTTGAAAATCTACTCCATTTTATGGAGTGCTGTTAGAAAAGGAGGGGGACTCGACTTTTATACATACATTTATGTATTATAGTTTAGATAGCTTTTTAAATTAAATATATTGTTTTACATGTGTAATTAAATGAAATCAAAGCAATTCTTACGATGTTATTTTATTTTACGTCGATATATATATTTTTAATACAACCGTTCTGAGTTTTATGTACTGACTATTTAAATGAATAGTCAACATGTAATTGCATTAATATTTTCATCCTGTAAATTAATATTTTTTTATTTTTTGCAAATGTAGAATTTATTTTATTGATTACAAATTAATTTTTATTTAATCACAAACAAAATCCATTCAATGCTTTCAACATTTGATACACTACTTTTATAGTTCAATAGAAGCTTAGAAACCTCATTTCTTACATGGGCATTTTATGCGTAAAATAGGTGCCACATCTATACAAACAATACACAATTACAATATAAACAAATATGAAATAATACTTTTAATTAAATGCTAATTAAACATTTTTCAACATCATACGAGGTGCATTTTGTAAAGATTTACATTCAAAATATGCAAAATGTGAATGCATCCAAACTCTTGTTATAAAAATATATTTTAAACCCAAAATTAAACAATCTTCACATTTATTACTTAAGTCCAATATGTTTCCGACATAAATTAACAATTTTTGATCATTTACATTCAGAAACATGCATAGAAACTTGATGTAAATAGACCTACCCTCAATTTTTCTTTAATTGACAGCACATTTGTAATCTCTAATCAGGTTACTTAGGTGATCGATGTTGAAAAACAAACATCAAAATCATGAAGTAGAATGATTAAAGTTACATAAAATCACATTCTTAAGTGATTTTATCGTAGGCCGGAAATTGGCGTTATAGAGAATCATCCTTTGTCAGTTGATGCATCCTGGATCCTCAGAGAACGTCAACTGAAAAATAGGTCACCGTGACCTACTTTTGAAATGTTATGGCTATATTTCAATATTTTGGGACTAATTGGCTTAGAATCATCAAATTTGTCTATTGATGCATCTTTGGTCTTTGGAGAATGTCAACTGAAAAGTGACCTACTTTTAAAATTTTACATGTATATAATATACTTAGTGTTGTCAACGAGTACCCTGTTAACCATCAAACGATGCGAGTATCGGTTAGTAAAACTGCTATTCGATTACTCGGATAAAAATACATTTTACATAGTAAATACAGGTGACTCTCAGTGGCTCGAACTCCCATCTCTCGAAGTTCTCGATCTCTCAAAGTGAACCTCCGGTCCCGTTTTTTTCCTCTATATAACTAAGCAAATTTACTCCTGATCTCTCAAACTCCCGATCTCTCAAAGTTCTCTATCTCTCGAACCAGGACCTGGCTCCCGTTACACATATTTCATTGTTTTTTACTCTCTATCTCTCGGAGTTTTGATTGCGCATGTATACACGTCAATCAAGCGTAAAATTTATTCAGCTTGGACTTACCTAGATAACAGTGAACACCTGGGGCTGGGATGGAAGTGTTAATTGGGTGTTTACATAGATGATACTACACCTGTGAGTCGTCCGATATAATGAATTGGTTAATTGGTAAATTATAAACAAATCGCTTCACAACTTATTTTGACTGGACGAGACGATAATTTTGAGAAAATAATTTAGGGAGGTGTCAGTAATTTTTCATAGATTATGAACTTTAATATTATTAGAGTCTACACAATCCCTGTTTGGCAAATATTGCACAAGAAATCCTATCTTAAGAATTGTATACCGATTATGAGCAATCTTGTGAAGGACCGATCAAGCCCGCGCCCGGGGTTAGCAAAATTGACAATTGCTATTCAGGTTTAATGTAATCATGAAATGAGAACAAATAAATATTGAAACTTAAATGAATCATTTTATTTATTCAAAACACGATCATTGTTGTTGAAATCAAGTGAATTACCTGTAAAATACGAATGAAAACGTGTAATGACATTATCAACATATACTTCCGGTATGTATAATAGTAGAACAATGATGATCGGAACTGAAAATTCCAGATTTTATTCACTTTCGATCTCTCGAACCCCCCGATCTCTTGAACTTTTCTTAGGGTCCCTTGAACTTCGAGAGATCGAGAGTCACCTGTACGTAGAAAATAAATGTTATATGGTTTATAAATGTATAACACATTTACCTAAAATTATTTACCATTAGACTTGATCTTGACTAGTGGTTCACAAATAGGATCGATTTGTTTTGATTAGTTTTCACACTCTATATATTAATTGATAGCTTTGATTGCCAGGGGTATAAAAAATTTGAAGACCTCAGTTATAATTACCTCATTTACACCTGTGCTAGTCAAAGGAGCATAATTTAATAAGATGCCACCACAGACATATAAAGCTTGGAAGTATTTTAAAAGAACAGCTGATCTGAGATCTGTAAAATGTAAATTATGTGAATCGAAGTTATTGTATACGAGTGGGACTACAAATATGTTAAATCACCTAAGATTAAAACATTGTTTGGAAACCAGCGATTTACTGGACACTCTACAAATCAACCAGTGATTATGGGTATTTTAATTCTCCTTGATCGCGACATATATTAGGGGCTGAAAAGAAAAACATAATGAGAGCCATTGTGAAAATGGTGATTGACGACTATATACATGTATCTGTCTTCTTCGTGTATCGATAAAATTATTCTCTTAAACAAAAACAAACTGTCCGTTTCGATTGACATCTAAAATCAAAATTCTTTGAAGATATTGTGTATGTGTTTAAGTTTGTAATTGTAAATAGTTCATATACAGTATATTTGTTTTATTTCTACTGATAGGTAAAGGATGAGATAAATAATAGATATGGAAACTGTAATGAAAAATCATCCGAGTAACCGGGTACTTGATCGGAAAAGTAAGCGAGTAACCGGTTACTAAAAATCGTCCAATTTGACAACACCAAATATACTGAAAGGAAAAAGAAATGCAGGGTAATATAATGTGGGAAAATTTTTTGACTGTATAACCGAAAATTATGAAAATTTGTCAGAGGGATATCTTGGTTACTGTGCATTAGAATCAGTGGTCAGAACTACTCAACCGTGAAATATATGATGTCACATAAGGAAAGTGGTAAAAAGCCGAATACGTGTGCATATCGATGACGACATGTTTTTCAACACATCTCGTACCATTTGCTGCACTCGATATTTACAGTTGATTTGCATTTCTTGAAATCAAGGTACGGTTGACGGAAGTACCATGGGGTCTGGCTATTGCATTGCCTAAGTAAGGACAAAGGCAACGACAGGTTTCTGTGCAGTTTGTTGTGAATTTTTCCACAATAGAACATCTTACTTGTCCTTCGAGAGGGCATAGATGGTTTCCAACCAACCGTGATGATGACGTTGACGCATAACAGTGCCACATCAAGATCGGACTATTCATCCTGCCACCTGTATAATCACCAACACATTACTCTAAAACTGCTATTAATACAGCAGGCTATCATAATCGTTACATTCACCCCAAAACTGAAGGAAATCGATAGCGCAATTTTGGTTTGTGAGTTCATCAACTTTACATAAGTGTTCCTCTAACTTGCGCATGCATACCTCGTTTGCTTATTTTTGGGGCATGTTAACTCCCCTCCCAATGCTGCCAGGGTTTGTCAAGATTTCCTCGAAAACAATCACATTCATCCAGTTGACTGATCTCCATCAAGTCCATCTTTTTCGCATCAAACGCCTGTAGGACTACATGGACGATAGGGTTTAAAATGTCCAAGCTGGTCTCAATCAACTAAGGGCTGCCTTCTCGGAAAAGGTTGAATAATATCCCTATTAGAAGGATAAACACACTGATGAACTCCATGCAAAGGAGAATCAAGGGTGTGACAGATGCGCGATGGAGACATGTGAGATAATGAGAATTTTCATTTTTGACTTTTGGGGGTACCATCATGTGAGTTTCAATAACTCATGAATTATTGGGAAAAATCAAATGAGATTTTGGTTACATTTTTATTAAAGATGATTTTAAATGTTAGATAGGAAAACTGGAAAATACATCTGAAATATATACATGTAACCTTATTTCACCTAAAAAGTTTACCCTGCGTTTCTTTTTCCTTTCAGTATATTTCAGGTACTAATTGAATTGGAATCATCAAACTTTGTCATTTGATGCATCTGAAGTCCTCAAAGTATATCAACTGAAAAGTAGGTCACCCTGACCCAATTTTAAAATCTTATGGCTATATTTAAATATTTTAGGTACTAATTGGCATAGAATCATCAAACTTTGTCAGTTGATGCATCTTGAGTCTTCGGAGTAGGTCAACTGAAAAGTAGGTCATTGTGACTTACGTTTTGAATTTTATGATGATATTTTAATATTTCAGATGCTAATTGTCTTAGAATCATCAATTATTTTCAGTTGATTCATCTTTGGTTCTTAGAGTGTTTTAACCAAAATGTAGGTCATGATGACCTAGTTTTGGAATTTCAAGGCTTGATGTGAATATACAGGATACTCAGAGGCTTCAAATAGAAGTGACAGGTTGTACAATTTATCAGAAGAGTGATTCAAGGCCCTTGGGCCTCATGTTTAGCATAATTTCATATACTGAGTTAGAATAAAATATTCAATTCAACAATGATATAAGATTGATTCATTGATTGTTCTAATTATTGCAGTAAGGAAAAGTTAAAAAAGATTGCCTTCATGTATTTTAGAATGCCAGTGTTGAAACAATTAAAAAACATTGGTTCAAGACATCCAGTCACAAACTATCAGATCCCAATCAAGTGGAGGATTTCCTGTCCAGCTTCAATGAAATCTCCAAAGCCTGCCTCCAATATATTGTAAATCTACAGGATGACAATGTAAGAAATATTTATGTAATTGAAATGCATCTATAAACACTGTAGATGTACATTTTTCTGTGTGGAATTAATTAATGATATGTATGGGATCACATTTTCCATGGAAATTTGTCAGAGCTTATTTAAAGTGCATATAACATATATACAATGGCTGTTCAAAAATCGGCCTTATTTTCTACCTGGGGATTATTCTATCAAATTATGACCCTGTGGAAAAAAGAATGTTTACAGTATTTTAATAAAAAGAGAAAAATGCCAAATACTCAAAAATTTCTGTTTTTTGAAATGCCTCTCCAAGAGATTTTGCCAAGGACATTTAGTCTCCTTCAAATTTTACATAAGAATATATAGGAAAATTCTTTAAAAATCTTCTTCTCAACAACAACAAAGCCACAATTAGTCATATTGATATGGAATCATCCTCAGGTAGTGTAGATTCAAGTTTGTTCAAATCATGACCCCCAGGGGTAGGGTGGGGCCACAATGGGGGATCAAAGTTTTACATAGGAATATATAGGAAAAATCTTTTTTAAAAACTTCTTCTCAAGAACAACAAAACCACAATTAGTCATATTGATATGGAATCATTCTCAGGTAGTGTAGACTCAAGTCCGTTCAAATCATGACCCCCGGGGGTAGGGTGGGGCCACAATGGGGGATCAAATAGGAATACATGTATATAGGAAAAATCTTTTAAAGATCTTTTCAAGAAGAGGAAAGCCATGATTAGTCATATTAATATGGAAGATTCAAGTTTGTTCAAGGCATCCTCCAGTAGTAGGGTGGGGCCATAATGGGGGATCAAAGTTTTACAAAAGAACATACATGTTTGTAGGAAATATCTTTAAAAATCTTCTTCTCAAGAACAAAAAAGCCATGATTAGTCATATTGATATGGAAACATCCTCAGGTAGTGTAGATTCAAGTTTGTTCAAATCATGAACCCCCCCCCAGGGTAGGGTGGCAGACATCTTTAAAATCTGTTTACAAGACTAGCAGAGCCATGATTAGTTTTATGAATATAGAAGCATCCTCAGAGAGTTAAGATTCAATTTCATTCAAAACATGGCACCTGAGGGTAGGGTATGCCCTATGCAGATGATGAAAGCTTTACATGTGAATAAATAGGAAAAGAAATCTGCTGATGAAGAACAGCAGGGCCATATTGACTCAGGTTAGTGTTGTGGCCTATGGGCCTCTTGTTGCTTTGTTCCTCTGCTCTGCCTCTGGGCATTAAGTAGTCAAACTAAGCATGCCAAGTGTATAGTTATGATGAGCAATACCCCTGCGAGATGATCATGAATAATTCATGATTTTCCTTGAATTATTCATGAATTTTATTCATGAAATGTTCATGAAGATCCTATGAACTTATTATTGGACATTTTCAAATCATGAATTTTCATTCATGAAAGAAAGTTGATGAATATTCATGAATATATTTTTACATGAATAATTCATGAAGAGTCATATTCATGAAGATTCATCATTTTAAGAATTGTCCAATAATAAGTTCATTGCATCTTCATGAACTGTTCATGAATAATTTATAAAATTTATTCAGGAATGTTCATGAATGAATAAAATTTCATGAACTATTCATGAATATTTTTGCTTATTTGTATACAAAAAATGCAATATTATTATTCACTTTTATTCATGAAAATGCAAGAAGTCTAATCAAGCAAAAAACTGTAAAAGAAGATATTTTATAATACAGCATCTTGAAAGATTTCACAAAATATCTGTTTGTTTTCCAACAATGGCAACAAAATGTTTTTTTTAAAGTAAACAACTCTGATAATTTGATAACCATAATTATGTATACATGTATATCTTATTTTACTCTTATTTAAAGCGACAAACTAGAAAGAGTTGAAGTATCTTGAAACACTGTTTACAGACAAACGTAAAGAACTGATATTAGCTGAATTTGAGCTCCCTCTTCTTTTAATAAAAATAAAAAAAAAATAGCATTCAAATGGCAACACATTTTCATAGTATTGAAGGCTTTGCAATTGCCTTACCACTTACTTGCAACTTTTTGAATGTTTTGAATTTCTTATGTACATGTAGTTCATTCCTGGTAAAATTATGAAAAATTTCAAACACGACTCTGTGCAGAATCCTAAACCTTACTTGGTCAAGAGGAGGGCGGGGTCCTGCCTCAGCATATTTCAAAGTGGGTTTTTTTTTGGCCAGAAATGGAACAGTTTTTAATTCCAGTCTAGGAGAAAAGTCTGTTTAGCAATAGGGCAACAACTTTGAGGGCTATCAAGCATTTTCGAGCAGAAATGGTCAATTCCAAGATTCTTCTTGGTTCTCCATTTGGAATTTCCAGAATTTCATCATTTAGATCCTTTGATCGAATATCATTCATATTTTCATTTCTTTCTTTTGTTTTTTCAAGAGTCCGGATTTTTTTGCAGAGTTTCTTATCTTCTGATCTCAACTCATCAACATCATTTATGAACTGCTTCTCTTTTTCCTACAAGAACAAAGATTTTCTGAAAATGCCCATGAAGATTTTTGTTACATTTCTTAACTAATGAGAATTAACAAATCTTAAACTTTAACATTTTTACACTGAAACATGGTATTATAATGAAGGTTGCCAAGAACATTCACCTTAAAAAATTCATCTATAAATATCTAGTATACTCTTTATTTAGCTGAAAAGTGTAGTATTAAAAGCAACTTTTGGTATGTAATGCTAAAAAGTTACATTTACCAAAGCAGATTGACATAAAGTTGCAAACGAAACTGCAAAGGGGATCATAAATTTACCGAGGACTACTGGGGTAGGTCATCCAATATTAAAACAATGATTCTTAAAAGTTTATCATGGCTTAAACACTATAACGTAATTAAATATGAAAAGTACAAATTTGTCTTTGTCTAAAGATTCTCTGGACCTAAATTAATGGTTCAAATCTTCAGTGACACTTTCTGAAGAAAGTGTGCCTATTAAAACAGAATTAAAAGAAATTTTCAGGCAATTTATAACAAAAATAAGATTTTTTTTCCCTAAAAAAAAAAGATATTAAAAAGGTAAGTGCAGAGAGATGCTGCAAACAGTTCAAAGGTTACTCAGTACATTAACCTGCTTGATTTACCTGTAGTATTTAGTGATGTGGCAGGTGGTGACTGCCTTTCTGTTGCTGAATGCCTTGAAAATAGTTTGCTGGAACAGGATGCTATTTAGAAAAAAATATTTTCATTTTTAATGATAACCTATTTGTGTCTGTGTAATCATTTTAATTTGTGAAAGTATAATTATTGTAATAGATTAACTTAAGAGAGTTGAACTGTTTGGCTTACACTTGAAAAGAAACTTTTCATACGTACTGATGCATCCTGAAATGTATGGTTAAATTCTCCAATTCCTTCTTTTATTTTCTCAAGATGTTTCTTGTCATCTACAAATTAACAATAAAACAATTATATGACTTTTAACTTAGAATTTTCATTTTACACAACTCTTATTACCATCCACAGTCTTGGGTCAAAACACTTTGTATGTGCCTTATCTAATCAATTAAAGCACCATTAGATTACAAGTGTAAAAGTGGTCAGGAACCTCCCCCCCCCCCCCCCCCCTTCAAAAAAAAATTTATACTCTAAAAGTTTTGAATTCTTATTGTAAATTTACCAAAATTAGGTTTTATCCCCTTCCCTGCCATTAGCTAAAGATACAGGAAAAGAACTTATACTTTTCTTGCAAGTTTTATCAATTTTAGTTTTATGCATCATAAGCAGATCTAGAAGGGGTGGCAGTTCTTCCATAGAGTAGTCCGAGAGGAAGTTTGCCTTTTTCCCTCGGCTGTCATGTTGTACCCGTCAATAGGCCTATGAATGTTTTAATAAACTAGCCTATCTATAATTAATGTATATTACTTTGGTTGGATACCCACTCAAAGCAAAGTTTGGCAAAGTCTTCATTTAAAAAAAAGCATAATAATTTAACAAATAGAGTAACATCTACCGACAGATATCTGATTAAATGATTAAATCAGTGATTGCCTACCGTTTTTTGTAACTCACCACTAATCTCTGAAGTTATGGCTGCAAAGTAGATTGATCTTCTGAATATATATATTCTTCCTTCTTCGTATTCTGTTATTTCCTTAAGAGGCTGAGAAAGAATGACTACGCTAATTATAATGCTTTCGATCCTCCTACTCTATCAATTCACATTTCAAACGTCTTGCGCGTTTCAAGTTTGCGCCTTTCGTCTTGACCAATGGAAACTTGGGTTCTTAAAAATGTAAGGCAGAGCTAGGATATAGTTTCGAATTCCCAATATTTTTATTTTAATAAATAACAAAGACTATCTGAATAATTTTTTACTGGAATTAAATTTTAAAAATCAATATAATTTTTATCAATTAATGAATTCAAAGAAAATTTTTATGTCATCAATGAGCGTCTTCGTTTCGTATTATCATAACAAGTATGGCGGCCACGGACGAGGGAACCGGAGGACAACAACTATGAGGACGTATCGGTATGGGAGACGAAAAAAATACGAATGTGGATCATGTCATAGATACTTCACAACCATGCAATCTGTGTTGTATCGTTTACACACGATGCATGGAAAAAGTATGACTTTTTAACTACATCAATATTTTTGTATGGGGATAAAGTGTTTCGACCCAAGAATAGTACAGTACGGATAAGACGCATAATTTTTTAGTTGTAAATAAATATATGACGTGTTTTAAAGAAGATTACGAAGTTTTTTCTTAATTGTTTCAGTTTCTCACAACTTGCTTTAATTTTGACATTAGAGAAAATTCGGTTGAACAAAGTACGTTGCGTTGTGAAAAATGAGATTATTTAAAGCACATTTTCAATGTAACTGGTTAATTAAAATAATAAAGGAATATGGGTAATTTAAGGACATACGCAAGGTACCTTACCTACTGATAATTTTTCAAGATATTTTTATTGTAAGATTATAGTGCCATCAGATGTTCGTAGACAAAAAATCAGCA